CATACATACATACATACATACATACATACATACATACATACATACATGGCTCAAGCCGTTTGAGGTCTCAACCTGGTCCAATTCAAACCCAGGCACAGGCAAGAACAGCCATCGGAGCCTAGCATCGAGGACCACCTTGGCACTGGACCGTTCTTTGCCCGCAATCTTGCTGATCCCCAACCTCACTTTTGTCGACCCCTACGGTGACTGGCAAGGATCTCGCTCTGGTTTCTGGCCTGCACACCATCCTGGTGACTGGGGCTACAAGATTAGCTTTCTCACAGGCCAGATTTTGATCGGTGCCAAGCTCTTCAACTTCCACCAGGCCGCTGACGAGCTCCTTGAGGGCCTCCTCACCCGGAGCTATGACGTCCAACTGGTGTCGTGCATATCAAGTATGCACTAAGAGCAACTGTCACAACTGGATATGGCAGGACAAGATCAAGAGTGGCAACAAATGCCGCAAGTGCGGAACATGGTGGGTGGTCACCACAAATGGCAAAGGCAAAGGACAAGGCCATTCCACCCAACCAAAAACCCTCATGAAGGGTTGGCCCAGGAAGTCCTACCAAGAAGCTCTTCTGGACACACCGCCTGGGCTGAACAGGCCTAGACCACTCCGACGCCCTAAGGACCAGCAGCAGGCTGCCGAGCTCCTCACCGCCAATTGGGAGTCCATACCAGACACCATCCAAAGCAAGCTTCAAGCTTTGGGGCTCGGACCTCAACCCCAGGAGGAGCCAGGGCTGACCGACATCCTGAAGACACATATGACCTCTTTGCCGCCTGAAGTCCAAGCTGTTGTCACTAAGCTGACGACTCCCCTCCCACAAACGGAGAAAGAGATTGCGCGGCAGCTGAAGAACCAGGTCACGGAGTTGAAAAATCAATCCATCAAGAAGACCCAGCTTCAAGTCAAACTTGACCAGGCGAAGAGTCACTATGCAGCCATGCTTCAAGACATGCAGGACATCCAAGCACGCCTCAATGATGGACAACAAAAGCTCAAACAGCTCTCCGACAAGTACATGGCTGCAGTGAACCAAGCACCCAAGCCTGAAGACCTCACAACGGACACAGCGGCCACAGAGCCCATCCCCATGGCAGTCGAATCTTTTGTCACGAGCCTTGGCATTTCTTTGACCGAAGATCAGAGAAGCCAACTTCACGGTCTCTTGAAGCGTCCAAACATGGATGGAGAAGACCCAACCAAGCGCAGGAAAACTGAGGTGACTGCAACCCCGATTCACTCACCGTTGAGTGGGTAACATGCAGTGGGAACTCCAGGGGTACTTTCAAGGGGAATTTGTGCCAGTTCCCTTTGACGATTTTGATGAGGCACACACCAAAGGGGAAACTGTGAACCAGCACCAATGGGTTTGCCGCGCTGCCTCAGGCTCCGAGGTGCACTTCACAACAGACCATGCATGGTGTGACAGGGACAACTCACACCACCCACGGATGGCTTTTGGGGACACCTTTTCCAGACTGCATGAAGGGGACATTTCATGCACCAATCCACAAGGCACAGAAGCCCAGGACAACAACGTCCCAATTTTGACATCAGAGACTTTACTCCAACCCTCCGGCCATGACGCTCTAACGACATCTGACTACCTCTCCATCAAAGGTGGAGCACTCTCCAGTGGCACTCCGGAGCTGCCACAGACAGGTTTGCACCAAATGGAGCATGAGTATGCCTCCACAACAGACTGCATTTTGCAGAACCTCAGCATGACAGTGGGCAACCCCAGTGCATACTGTTATGCCAATGCACCATGGCGAGCTTTCAGCTGGACCTGTGCGCTGCTGCAAGAAACGAGCACCCAACCTTGGGGCACCCTGCAAGATGCAGTACAAGAGTCTTTGGACACAGCGGAACCAGTGGACCTACACCAGCTTCCAGGCATGCAAGAGCTCTGGACCCAGCATGACCTCAACTTGCAAGGTGATGCAAATCACTTTGTAAACTCTCTCTGGCTTCAATCACAAACCAGAGCCTTCCACTACCGCTATGCAGAGATCAAGGAACAAGGCTACCTGGTGGATCATGTACAAATGCCGATCTTGATCCCCTACCCTGATGATTGGCCTGGAGACACACGGTTTCAGGACCTCATCAACAACTGGGCAAATCAAGGCTTGGGGCAATACCTCATGGA